GGAAATCAGGAAGAGTCAAATAAGCACTGAAGCTTTTAACTAGACATGAGCCCTCCTGGTGTAACAGTCCCCTGAGCACAGTAAAATTACAACCAAAACTGAACTTAACTGATTTCAAACTGCAGTGGCTGATTGGGAGTTGCAAGTCAAAAAAATGAGACTTCATTGGCTACTTAAAAATACAACTATAACGCATACAATGCTACCATGGCCTGTGAAAAAAATCCTGAAGAAGACAAACTTTAAGCTTCCTATCATTGCAGACAGAATGATCTATGAGCTTGACCAGAAGTGTCACAGGTTAGTGGCCCAGGACAGCCCTGAGGAGATAATCAGCTGTGTGTCCCAACATCCAACATGCCACTATTCCAGGACTGTTTGAGTGACCGGGCCTCACTAGATTGACAGGACCTTTGTCCTGCTCTATATCTGTCAGAGCCTCCTAAATTGTATACTACCCCCTTCACCCCCATTCTTTCAGCATTAATGCAATGTCTTGGCACTACTTCGTCACTGTCGCTCAGACATTGACACTCGCCTCCTAAAATTAGCCTTTCTTTTACCTTCTCAGGGTAACAGCCCTACAGGCGTCCACAGCTGACACAAGACTATAATGAAGTCTTCAGTTTCTAACAGGACTGTGTACTGCTAAGTCACCAAGAATGCTATGCTTAAAAAAATAGACAGGGCCCATGCTTAAAATTCTTCTTTGGTAAAGAAAAATATATGCTGGCAGCCACCCTGAAAAGAAACCTGATCTGGGATCTAGAGTTGTTGTGGTGGTGCTGCCCTCTGCTGTGTGGCAATTCGGTGGAGGATAAGTGACCTTTAATAGACATTAACTTCTGGCACATGACATCCAACTGAGGTCAGGGTGGTAAAGTTTTAAAGATGTCTCGGTCTCACTTAACAAGTCTGAGCCTGTAAAACAGGAGTAACTTACAAAAAGGGAAAGGCTCTCATCCACCCTTCCATAGGACAAGATGGACTCACTCGCTCATAGAGGCCAGAATGTGTCCACACTCTCAAATATCATGAAGATCTATTTGAGACATCTGTGGAAGCAATCACAGAGCAGTACCCATGTCTGCTTCTTGAAAACCGCAAACACACTAATCCAGTGGAGAAGATTTATCTGGATGTAGATCTGCTATATGTCATTTCAATGAGGTGGAAGGTTCAAGTGATGATGTGACAGTCAAGATTTGGGGAGAGAGAGGGAGATACACTAGACATAAGAGGCCATAGTGTTAGGATAGCTCTGTCCAGTGTCCAGTGGAACACATACAGTAATCTGGGGAGTTGGCAGGGATTTGGGGGGTTGTTGAAGGAGAAAAGGACCCCTAAATGCCTTTATGGGGAAAAAAGGACAGTTTGAGTTACAGCCGCACCACTTGGGAGTAGATTTTATTTATACAGGAAGAGCCAAACAGGATACACAGTGCATGTCAAATCTTGAACACTGTTATATTTTGGCCCAAATATATTTAATATATTTAATAAACAGGGACTTCATAAAATATTATGCAGACCATCCCGTCAGTTAATCGATTGGTTTAACATGTCAGCGCTATAACAAACTGCAGCCTGAGATGGAGGTGCACATGTGCTGAGTTCATGTTCTAGGGCTTTTCTCACCAGTCATATTCATGTTACATAACAGGGTCAGAACACAGACTTTGTACTAGCAAAGGCAAATTCATACACATAATCAGGAACAGGTGAGCCAGGCCAAATAAAAAAAAACACCCAAAAGACAGAAAACAAAGGAATCCTATACTATATCTGAAATTGAGTATATACCATACATTGGTTTGCTGCGGCAAAATACAATTCTCCTACTTATGTAGTCCAGCATTCAAGCAAGTATAGAGGTTTTCAGTTCTATCATGGCACAGTTAGTTGCCCATTCGCTGATGAACATGCTGTTAGCATCTTGTTTTTGCACATTTTAGTACATGAATGTACAATGTAATCAAAGTACAATAACGACAGGTTCTGTTACTAAGAAAATTCACTATTTTAAAGTTAACAGACTGCCTACAAAGTTGATTTGTAATCAATGTTGGACAGATTGACACTTATATTTTGTATATATTTTGCACTCTTCTTATTTTGACTAGTAAAGATAAAGGTACTTTTCATGATCAACTGTGTAATGAATGCTGTGGTTTTAGACACATTAGGCCTCATTCATCAATATCTTCCTAAGTTTTTTCTTAAATTTATTCTTGAGAAAGGTCCCAAGAAAAAGTCTACGCCAGATTCGTGGTCTTAAAACACAGAATTGTTCCTTTGTGCTCTTGAGTGTGTAGATCTTACCTAAGATCAAATCCCAAAAAAAGAAAACATTGGTGAATGTCAGAATCTGCATAAGTGGGTTTTAACAAGAAATTTCTTCTTGAGGCCCATTGATCTTTCACAAGTTCTGTTTTGGCCATCTGTTTAGAAGTTCAGCATTTCAGATGCAGCTCAGGAAAGTCGGGAAATTCTGTTCAGTAATACTACACTAGCAACACTTCACAAAAAGTACTGATGCACGCATGCACACAGGTAAAACAGATGATCAGGGCACCAGAGAAGGAATCTACAAAGTTCCAGAAATGACAGCAGGACCTGCAACAAAAGAAAAATCATTCACAGGAGAAACAGCTAAGAATTGTTGTTGTAGGTGGCTTCTGCTTTGTGCTAGCAATGCCAAATTAAAGAGTATACAGAGGCATTCTAAGCAAGAGGTTGTAGCAGCTTCAACCATTTTCTTTTTATTTTAAAGCAAAGATGTTTTGGCTCATGATGTCCACAATGCCACAATTTGCTGAAGATCCAAGAGTAGATTGCTGTCCTTGTGCTTGCAGTTTCAGGGCAGTTACTCAAAACAGTTCAGTACAAATTCCTAGTACTTCTCTCAAACTGTAATGGAATTAGTTTGCTCTTTATTTTATAGACAGTATCTTCCTGGAGTATCTTAATACTCCAATTCCCTTCTGTTACTCTCTAAAATATACAATCAATTTCAAAGTACAATGAGAACCACTAGTCCTTTAAGTAGTGGAAAAGAACAGTGTCCATTTACTGTAAAACTGAACCATATCTGTGCATGAGGTCAGCATGTACAGGATGACGATGCATAAAACAACGCTCAGTTAGGGGAAATAAACTGAAACAGCTGTCAGTTTTGTTTTTGTAGCCCAAAAAAAGAGAAAACTTTGGAAAGGGACACTTTGCCCCACTGTCAGGTCAAGATGTCCTCATACCCATAGTAAAAAGACCCCCAGAGGAAAAACCAGCATTAATTATCTGATTCACATGGAATGTGTAATTTGTATGTCAGATAACTTCTAGTATTACCATTCATGAACAGTATTATTGCACGGAATTACAACACTAAGCATCCTATAAAATAAAAATTTAAATCTAAAGCCTTGATCAGCTTGTCTTAATTTCACATCTATTTTGTAAATAATAATAATTTAACTCTGCCAAGCTGACAAAGTCTCATATAAATACAAACTCAAATCCAAGTTCATATTACTCTTTCCACACTCCTGATCATGTATTTTAAACCTTTTGTTGGAGAACCTTTCTTGTATAACTTACACAAATACACAGAATGTTATAATTTAATACAAAAAATAGACTAAAATTAAACCAACCCCAAAACTTTTCTGGAGGAATAAACCTCAGTAATGAAGTCATCCAGATGTACTTTAGTTTTCCTAACTGGAGCACAGGCATTCAGTAAATGTGGTGAGATTGGATTTGGCCCTATCATTTGATCAGAAGAAACCTAGTCCAAAAACAGCAGACTCGAAATAAAATCCTTATGAATTATAGCACTGTCTCAGTGCTTTAAAAACAAGCAAATAATGATGTATTACATCACGCCCATGACCTTAGAAACATGGATTAAAATAGTCTGTTTACGTGAGGGTACTCTTTTCTTCAGCATGGGGGTCTTTAGACATTCCATTTTAGCATGCGATTGGTTGCTTTGGTGCACAGATTGCTTGTCAAGTTTACAGTGGTGGGACCTACTATAATTTACACTTAATGTTATCTTTACAAGCAATTAACTACTAAATATTCCCAATACATGTTTGGAAACATCTACTCTCACCCTCCTTGTTCATTGTACAACCTGCCCATGCTCACTCTTTACTGGCCATCTCCACAACCTAACCTCCATTAATATGTAAAAGGACATGCAAAATACGTAGATGAAGTTGTAGATGCATTGTGGATAATTTATTTGTTTAGAAAAGTGTAATGCATATGTTATGCAATTATTGAAACTGTAATTAAGTCAGTGATTAAGAAGAATGAAAACTGCAATGTGTTACATTAGTTCCTTACATAAAAAACTAATAAATACATTACCGTAAAGCTGTTTACAGCTAGGACTCAGGGTACACAGAGTTATTCGACACAGTATTTGCTTTTGTTTTTGCTTTGTCTTAAATGTATTAGAGTACGGATGGAATTGGGGTAAAATGGGACATCAGACCATTGTCTGAAATGGGACAGCCATGTTTTATTCAACTCTATAATGAGACAGTTGTCCCATTTAGCACAATGGTTTCTATCTGAAACAGTGCAAGACCTAAAGCAAAAGTAAAGATATACTCAAATATACAACAGACTAGATGTGTTTTAGGACGAACAGAAACATGAAACAACTCTAAGAAATCGAGGGCTAGCAAGGCCTGCACAGCTTCTTGTAAAGCACTTCGACAGCCCTCTCACTCCCTAACGCTCAAGTTTGGTATACTTGCACTAAAAGCAATAATGCAGGCAGGTTATTTTAAAAGGCCAGGAGTTGGATCATTTAGATGATTGGCTATGTGAGTCAACTAGTATAGCCTTGAATTACGCAGTTAATGATTCGGCCCACACAAATGAACGGACAAACACTGCAATAACATCCCTGGAAAATAGTTTGTGGTTTTTTGTTCCATAAACACACCCTAAACACCCTCAGAAAACAGCACAGAGACATGACACTCCCTTTCATTCAGTTTTATTCCACAATCCTCCTTCTCTTGTACTCCAATTTACATTATTCACATACAGCTGTACCCAGTAGTTACAATTCTCATCACATTAAATAACTAAACATTAAAAACAAAATAGGCAAAGCAATGCTCATTTAAACTCATGATAAGATGAAAGACAGCCATAAATCATGTTTTGTCACGTGTTTATACCTTTTGTTTTCTCTGGTCATTACTAAGATGCATGAAGCTGTCTGCCATAAGGTGCAAGGTCAGACTGCTGAGTGGGCTCTTCATAAATAGTGACACAGATGCACCTTGGTTGGAGGTGAAGGTTTGTTTAGTTAAGCTTGACTGCAGAGTGGCTTCTTGTAATCACACCCTTTCGCCCAGGGGAGGTTCTGACCGTGGCAACGCTTGGTACAATCTAAATAGCAGTCAGTGAATGGGTTGGCATGGGTCTGGCCAGGCTGTGCTTCATCACACAAGGACCCTCAGGCAGCGAGTTGGAGCCAGGCAGATAAGGCTCGTATTTATCTAACAGTCACATTTCTCAAAGGACTTCTGGAAGGAGAGCAAAGGACAGGAAGACAGTTAGAAATGAAACCGTATTTGAGACTTTGTAAGCCACAAACAAATGGATATCAGCATTTTACTGACAATCCTGTGGAACCCAATATGGTATGCTCCCCTCCCAAATTTTTTCAGAGGGTTTTTCTTTCCAGTGTAGGAATTTGGGATACTGTTGCTATTTAATGGCATAAAACAGCAGCCACAGAGAGAAATATACCACATTTAAATAAATATAACAGGCACAAAGATAACATGCACAACAATCTAACTAGTGAAATATGGTGGTATATGCTGTTGGTACAAAGCACACAATTTATAACAACAAATACAGAATCAATGCTTAAGCTCTGGGGAACCTAACTGTTTTTTAGCCTTCTAATTAGGTAAATGTTGGTCATGTGAGCACACAATATGGTAGAACCCATCAATATTTTTTATAATATCTAGCGGTATGGCAGGCTGAGAGTCTTTGAAGGCGGTCCTTCAAGCATACTCATTAGAATAACATGTGACACTAAGACAGCTCTCAGATATGTCTGATAAGCAGCTTCAGTTTTCTATCTTATCTTTTTCACTGAAGCTTTCTGCATGTCTAATAACACTGAAGTCTGATGTCATGCAAACATTTTTAATAATTTGCACTATATTGCCAGGAACATCAAAATAATGATACAAAGTTAGATAAAAGCTGACTGAAAACACTGCTTTATGAATGCTGGCGGGCCGGTGATGTGACCTCTCCATGTTTGCTTTGGGGGTAATTTATGGTGCAGGCCTGTCTGCAGGGTAGCAGGTGGGAATCCTTCCTGCTACGGGAGAAGGCTGGCCGGTAGTAATGCTGACCATGCCAAAGAGAGGGGGCAGAAGGGGCATACCAGAACCAAGGTCCTGTTTCCAGCCCCGACTGACTGACTGCCAGTGAGGCACATGGCAGAGCGCCCTCAAAAAGCATCTGCCAGGCGCAGTGCCTCGGAGGATTAAGCCCCACACGTACACCCACCCTGACATCCACACCAGAGATAGCCCTCAGCCCTTGTTGAGAAGCTGCAGGACAGGCAAGGAGATTGCCAAACACTGTCTGTGGAGCCAAAAATAACACTTCAAATCATTGGTGCCGTGTGGTGCCAATTTTAAGGCGGCCCTGCAAACTCCATCCCAAACACGAGAGGTCAGATGTAAAAACAGTGTTCCATCAGGAGTGGATCTTATCGCTCAGCCTGAAAGATATTCACACTGTGGTCTACAGTGATAATAATGATGACAGATGATGATAAACCTTAATATAAGCAGTCACTGATGAACTCAATCTTTCAGTAGAGTCACAGTGATATAACAACATATTAACTTAGTGGCTGTGTTTGACAGCAGCTTCAAACTCTTCCCCAATTAAAACAAGTGAAATTCCAAATCATGTACAGCGTCTACAAAAATGTATATAGTGTGGACAAAAAGATAGAAACACCACATAAGAGAGACCATACAAACTTCAATTCCAAAAATGCTGGGACAGTATGTGAAATGTAAATAAAAAAATAAAGCAGAGTTTTGTAAACCAGCTCTAGCCTGCACTTAAATGAAAACAGTACAAAGACAAGATATTTAATGTTTTAATGTTTAACTTCATTGTTTATTTGTAAATACACCGATCAGGCATAACATTATGATCACCTGCTTGTTTCTACACTCATTGTCCATTTTATCAGCTCCACTTACTATAAAGGTGCACTTTGTAGTTCTACAATTACAGACTGTAGTCCATCTGTTTCTCTGCATACTTTGTTAGCCCCCTTTTACCCTGTTCTTCAGTGGTTAGGACCCACATGGACCCTCACAGAGCAGGTATTATTAGGGTGGTGGATTATTCTCAGCACTGCAGTAACACTGATGTGGTGGTGGTGTGTTAGTGTGTGTTGCGCTGGTCTGAGTGGATCAGACACAGCAATGCTGCTGGAGTTTTTAAACACCTCATTGCCACTGCTGGACTGAGAACAGTCCACCAACCAAAAATATCCAGCCAACAGCATCCTGTGGGCAGCGTCCTGTGACCACTGATGAAGGACTAGAGGATGACCAACACAAACTGACAAAGTTGGAGTGTCTAACAGAGTGGACAGTGAGTGGACAATGAGGTGTTTAAAAACTCCAGCAGCACTGCTGTGTCTGATCCACTCATACCAGCACAACACATCACCACGTTAGTGTTACTGCAGTGCTGAGAATGATCCACCACCCAAATAGTACCTGCTCAGGGTCCATGGGGGTCCTGACCACTGAAGAACAGGGTAAAAGGGGGCTAACAAAGTATGCAGAGAAACAGATGGACTACAGACTGTAATTGTAGAACTACAAAGTGCTCCTATATAGTAAGTGGAGCTGATAAAATGGACAATAAGCATAGAAACAAGGAGTTGGTCATAATGTTATGCCTGATCTGTGTATATGCTCATTCTGAAAATGATGCCTGCAACATGTTCCAAAAAAGTAGGGAGAGGGGCAATTTAAGGCTAGGAATGTTGTGTAGGGGCGGTGGCAGGCAGGAGAAGATGATTCATGCTTGGGTATAAAAGCAGCATCCAGAAAAAGCCTAGTCGTTTATGAGCAAGGACAGGTCAAGACTCACCAACTCTGACGCCAAAAATGCATCAGCAAATAATCCAACAGTTTGAGAACAACATTTCTCAATGAGTCACCCTTTTATTGCATAACATCATCAAAAGATTCAAGGAATCTGTAGAAATCTCTGTGCATAAATACAGCAAACCAAAACTGAATGCCCGTCATCTTCAATCCCTCAGATGGCACTGCATTAATAAGTGGCATGCCTCTGTGATGGATATCTCCACATGGATTTGAGAATATGTTGACAAGCCGTTGTCAATAAACACTGTTCATAGCCGCATTCAAAAATGCAGTATAAGACTGTACTATGCACAGTGGAAGCCATATATCAACAACATCCACAAGCGTTGCTGAATACTCTGAGGTAGAACTTACCTGAAATTGACTGATGCATAGTGGAAATGTTTATTGTGGACTGTCAAGAGAACCTTTCAAATTGTTTATGAAAATAATGGATGTTGTGTTCTTCAGGCCAAAGAAAAAATGGACCATTTAGACTGTTGCCAGCATAAAGTTCAAAAGCTAGGGTTTGTTAAGGTATGAGGGTGTATCAATGTCCATGGCATGGGTCACTTGCACATCTGTGAAGGCACCCTTAACGCTGAAAGATATACATATTTTGGAGCTACATATGATGGCTTCTAGACGACGTCTTGCTTTAGGACATATTTTTGAGCCACATTCTTAACTTAAAATAGCATGGCTGCGTAATCAGCATGTTCTCCAGGCATGGTAAATGGTGAAATGCTTGTTTAGGCAATGGAACAGTGCCACCTATTGGATGTACTGGATATGTTCCTTTGAAAAAGACGGGAAGGAGAGAACCAAAAAGTGTCTGCAAAGCACAGCCAGAAAGGAGTGCAGGCTCAGTTGAATCTGTTTTCATCCTCTTTCAATCTCTTTGATCTAATGTCTGTGGCTAAACATTTTAGTTGATTAGCTGTTTACATGAGCATATCATACCTGTTTAAGTTTCTTTTTAGGTTAATTATACATGAGCTGTGGTTGCTAGCATGTTGCTTGTTTTGGTGCTACCTCCCATCTTTGTCCCAGTGCTATATGTGCTTTCATTTGTGTATATAACAAACTTATCATTTACTATGCATATGGAAACTACATCAGTGACTTTCTGTAATGTATTTGTTTCCAGTTTCATTCTAAATTCACATACCCAAGGCAAATCAAGTTGGAGCAAGAAGCTATATCCTGACTCTTCCAGCCTTTTGTAGGTGGAATTTGGCTGCTGTTTAGTTTTGGTTCTAACACCTTAACGAGAACAGTACACAGCAAATCCTGCCTGTTCCAGAAGTGTCTCCTGTTGACAATGTGTGGCACGTTATTAAGTCCAAAATATGACAACAGAGGTCCCATACAGTTATGTAGCTGAAGACCTGCCTTAAAGGAAGAACATCAAAAATTTGCCTTTCAAAAACTGGACCAATTCAGTCTCCAAGTCTTGTTAAAGGGGAAGGTCATGCAGCACAGTCGTAAACATGAGCCTATCCTAAATTTTTTGGAATGCATTGCAGGCTAATTTGAAACAAATGTATATTTATAAATTTTGTCTCAACTTCTTCAGAACTGAGGTTTATATTCTGAAGTAACTAAATTCTCAGTTAATAACATATGAATCATTTCTTAATTCTAATACTAATAACATGTTATTAATCCTATATAGATTTTGAGAGCAACACTTTTTTAAATGTAAAGCAAGATAACAAAGGGCAGGGTGCCCAAACTGCAGGAAGTATGGAAGTAACAAAAACTACCAAATATTAAACGTGTCAGAGTAAAATGTTTTCATAATTTTAGGCAATTTCAAAAGAAGGAAACGGACAGTGGTTGAAAGTTGAGACCCATTCACAAGGACAGGCAGAAGAAAGTAATATAGCCTGATGAGTCATCTTTTACTCTTTTTTTTTTTTTAAACGCACATCTGGATGAGTTTTACTTCTGAAGGAGCCAAAGGAAGTCTCCCGCCCACACTGCCTACACCCAACACACCAATCTGAAAGTGTGTCTGTTCTTCTTGGAAAATTTCTCATTAACAATTGCCAGTGTGTATAAAAAACTAATGCCTTTTTATCAAAATCTAAAAAAATGAATGCCTTATTCTCAAAATCTAAAAAAAAATACGAATGCCTTATTATCAAAATATACATACACCGACTGATCTTTCTTATAACTTTGTCCACCTGCTGAAGATTCTGTAGCAACACTGATATCTCTAATCTCACCTGCAACATGCTGAGGCTTCATAGGGCCTGCTTTTTTCAGAAAGTTCCCACCATCAAAGGCCACAAGTGGTTCATCAGGAATGTCAGTTTCCGATTTCTCCCGCCCACCACTGCTGGTGCTGCTATGATTGGCTAGTTGGATGAACTCTTCAAATTGGGATGCCTCGCACCCTGAAGACAGGCCATTCTCGTGCTTGGAGGTCGGGACGCCATTTATTACAAGGAATGAAGAACTGAACGGGAAAGGAAAAAAGGTTGTACTATTTGGACAGATACAGTTCTTCAAGGACTCACACAAAACTAGACATTTATTAAAGCAATTAATAAAGCAAAGAAATCAATCCAGTCAGTCCAGATTTCTGTTGTATTCTCATGAGCCAGGTAATCAATTTTTGGCTTCCTAGTACACGTGTGCAGGGAGTAGGATTGCAACAAAAATGCGGGCTAGCCGAGAATCCTTGAGAATCTGTTCTGACATATTTCATATACACTGATAGTCAAAACATTGATGACCACTCACAGATGAAGCAAATAATGCTGATTATCTCATAACAAAAGCCCATGTCAAGGTCTGGGATGTAACAGAAGGTAAGCAAACAGTCATTTCTAATAGTCGATGTGTTGGAAAGGCATGAAGAGCAACTCTGAAACGCCAAGGCTTGTGGGGCACTCCCTGTCAGCAGTGGTGAGTATCTATTGACAGTGGTCCAAAGAGGGACAAACTACAAATTGTTGACACGGTGTTGGGTACCCAGGCTCTATGTGCAAGGGCAACAAAGGCGATCCCACCTGGTCTGAACTGACAGAAGGGCTACTGTGGTACAAGTCACAATTTAAATTTTTTATTAATGGTTATGGGAGGAATGTGTCACAACACGCAGTGCATCACACCCTGCTGCACATTGGGCTGTGCAGCTGCAGACCAGGCAGAGTGCCCATGCTAACTTCTATCTGCCATTGAAAGTGCCTACAATGGGCATGCACGCTTTGCAACGCTTTCGTGGCACATGTAGGACCAACAGCATTTTACGCATGTTGTCACAATGTTTTGGCTCATCAGTGCAGCTTAGCCCACAAGATGCTTTTTGCAAAGAGTAACTCTAGTTCTCTAGTTGTGCACTTGCTTAATATTATTTAATCACATTATTTAACACCAATCACTTTACAATGGGTTGCCAATTTCTTGGATAGACATACTGTATATCTATATTCAATGGCCATTTTATCAGGTACACCTCCTGTGCAGAATGTTGCCCATTCCACTGATAACCAATGAGATTAGGTACAAGATATAATGGGCAAATTTCAAACTGGCAACTTGACATATCTGACAAATATAAGTTTAAACAAAAAAGCTTATTGTCATTTACCTCTCCTTTGTGCCACTTTGAGATTGATTATTCTGCTTCAGATCTGTGCTTGGATGGTGGTTGGCTTGGATTGGATCAGCTGTTGCTATGAAAAAATACCATAATTACATTCTCAAAAAATGAACACTAATTCCTTTTCCACTTTGTTATAAGCTTGTCAGAATACACAATTGGACTCATTTGAATCCACCATCTGGATTCATTTGTAGGATTCTGAAAGCACTCTTTGTATTTACCATTTGATGACAGCTCTTCGTATACAACCGAAATTACTAATGTTAAAACTAGATTGAGAAATGAGCACAGACCTCATAGTGCTTTCTGGTGAGAAAAAACAAACAAACTGGATAACTGAATAAGCTATGCATTTTATTTATTCCATCCACATGGACAGTGGCTGTCCATGTTTAAAAACACCCAGTCAGCAGCTTGACTGACAGAAAAGGACTTAAGCCAACTAGTCTGGTTCTTAGCACCACATCAAGGTGTATGAGTGCCCTGTAACTGATGCCACTCCCTACTACTGCTCTGGCTGTACTTTATATAAGAGGCATTGAGAAGATTGTACTTTAAGATGGCAAAATGGAATAGATCAGTAGTTCTCAAACTAGTCCTCACAGCTCTAAGACGGCCCACAGTTTAGTGTTGGGACCTGGTTTGGGGATAAAAACACAAACACATGCAGACTGTTTGGGGTGGGGGTATTTGAAGTGACAGTGATCGAGAAGCACAATTATGAGCTTGCACTCTGTATATGCTCTGTAATGTGAAATCTGTTCATCAAGTTAACTAAACAGACCATAATTCATCTGAGTCAATACTGAAACGCAGTCCTATTTAATATCCCAGATACAATGTCCCTGGCCAATAAAGAGGAAGTCTTTTGTAAGGATTGGCTTTTTGGAAAGCAGATAAGGTTGTTTCCATCATAATAGCAGCCCTTGTTCACAGCATTTACAGGTTGCATAACAAAAAGGAAAAGTCGCTTCATACACTAGCCTGCCAACAGATAGAAAACCATGTTAAGAAAGGAGGAAAAAAAAACAGTGAGTCAGAAACAGCAGTGCTATTTGGCGCTACAAACGTTCAGTCCACCCTAGAATTAATGTTCTATACAACATTTGAAAGAATTAAATGAGGCAAAAATGTCATGGTAATGGATAATAACATTCTTCAAGCCAACACTTTAATATTTTACCTTTAATACTCTCAGATTCAGGCTTGGAACTTCCACCATTAACCTGGGAAGCAGGAGAAGATTTTGTGTCCTTCTGTAGAGGAAGGACGATATAATGGAATTAGATTTGGAGTTCATGTCCACCCTGTGCTTAAAGGCAGCACTAAATCAGAAACATACCTTTTCTCCCATGTCTGTTCTGCGTGTCCTTTTCATGATCTCCTCCAGGCGCTGGTGGGGAAGAAAAAAGGTCATCCACAGCACACAAAAGCACAAAAAGAATTAAATTCATACTGCATCGTAACTATTACTACAAAATCAGACCCTAATTGTGCCACCCTAAAGGAGCACTGCCCCTGTGACAAGCTAATTTCCACAGTGCAGTTTTAACATCAACAAAAGAAGTACTGAACAAGTCCTCTTGAGGAAGAAACAGCAGGTGTTGTACAGCAATAAACTGAGCACTAAGTCACGGTTTGAGAGTCAAACCATGTGAGGAAAGACATAAAACCCCCTGAAAGCTACAGGCTGTTGTGACAAAGGAACACAGAGTGATTCTGATAAGACCTTGTGGTAAGACAGACTGTGAGTTAGTAGTGGGTTAATAGCACTGAAGGCAGCATGGTGAGGGAGAGAGTGTCTGTCTCTTGTAAACACACTTTTCACTTAAGAGTGGATGGAAAGTGAGTATGTGCCTCTGTGGGTGGCACACCAGAGTTACAGTTATGCTCCTCCTGCTCACACCCAGCAATTAGCTGGCCTTCAAGAACTATTTTTGCTAAGTTGTACTAGTGCTGAGGGACGACATGTGTAACCCAGTCAAGAGGAAGTGGATAAATGTGTCATGGTGGTAGAGCACCATGTTTATATAGAGTGAGTTTAAAACATCTGCTCATGGTTGAGGTCTGAAAGAAAAATGTCAGCATCAGAGTGAAGGCAAGGGCAGTACTTCTGTGAATGCATGAGTGAGATTCCCCTCCTACCTTCTTCCTCTCCAGCCTCTCCTGCTCCTCCTTCTGGAAGTGCTTCTCCCTTTCCAGGCGCTGCCGCTCTGCCTCCTCCCGGGCCTTTGCCTCTGCCTCCTCCTTCTGCAACACACACAGCCAAACTGATGGAAATGCTGGGCTACTGCTGACCTACATGCATCTGGTTCTAAAATATTTGTTGTACTGTTCTGCGCACTGTATGCATGCCTCTAATAAACTAACCAGTAAATGCGGTTTTGTAAAATCCATCTGATGGTAATGATACAATTGCATTATTCTGTAAAGCGAGAGTGTCCAGTCTTACCCACAAAGGGCTGGTGCAGCTGCAACTTTCCATTCTAAACAAGGTGAAACAACCTAATTTCACTTGTTTAATCAGTTGGTATCAGTCTGCAACAACTGATCGAGTGTGCTCCTGCTTTGCAGGAATGAAAAACTGCAGCCACACCAGCCCTTTGCAGATAAGGACACCTCTGGACACCTCTGCTGCAAAGTTATAATCATTTTTCAATAAAGTATCTGCTCATTTTTTGCTTAAAATAACATTCTCAGGATATTTTCAAATGTAAAAAAATCAGAAAAAAGGCGTTGTGTATTGTCTTTATTGTCTACATTCAACTACTGTTTAAACAGTTCCACCAGTCAAATATATGTGATCAGTCCAGATATGTGCCAGTACAAAAACATTGGCATGATCATCCCATAAACATGTCACTGCAGTCACAAGTTGTCATGACAGATTATGTTCCCCAATATAAGAGTGTTGTGTTAATATTACAGGCATTTGGCAAGACAATTATCATAACATGATGTCATGAGAGCTTATGTTACATGCTAATTTTGCTAAGCATACTCTAGTTAGGAGTTATGATAACATCAAATATTATGACAAAAGTAATGAAAAACTCAGTAATGGTAACGTAACACCGTAATATTACTGAACAAAAGTGAGCATGAATCCTCATGATAGCATATTAAATCTGCCATGACATTAATGGCATTGTTGCAGAAATGTTATATATATATATATATATATATATATATATATATATATATATATATATATATATATATATATCACAGTTTATGGCATTATCATAATATTGCGTTAAGAATAAAACACTATATATATAAATGAGACAATACAGATACACACATACATACATATAGGGTTCTGAAAAACATTTTTATTAGCAATAAGATGCTGTTGGTTATACATTTTAAGGATTTCTATTTTTGGGCATAAAAAAGCCCCTGATGGAACTTGTGTATAGTGGCAAAGTAGTCTTCATCCTGTTTTTGGACAGTCTAAATTGCGATCATGTCTTTGGTTTCCCCTAGTATTTTTTTTGATTGTTTCAAGCAGGGTGGAAGACTCTAGCTATTACAATTACATCAAAGGATAGTATTGTGAGCTTTACTGTTAGCTGTGAAGGTGTTCAGGCCAATAACACATTAAAACAGCAGTACAAATGTACAATAAAGTACATGACCCTAATGTGAAAGCATAGTCGGATCTTGGAAACCAGTTGCTCTATGCATCTTAAAAAATTTGTGGTGAAACTCCAGAGGTTTTGTGTATAGTGTTGTTTAATGTGTTGAACACAAGGTGGTGGCAGTGTCACCAGAACCACATCTAATCTAATACAGCTCAAATACAGCTTCAGTTGAGCAGCTTGTCTAGAATCTAGAGGCCAAAAAATATTTTTTCGGCAAGTGCTGTCCCCGTGGTACTCAAGCTTAGACAGTACAGCTGCACTGTAACAGTGGAAATTGGGAAATGTGAATAGTCAGCATAAATAAAGACCCAAGTGACTTTGTCAGCACAGGATATGCGTTTCAGGTTTGGCATGTGTGGCAGACTGAGAGACAGAAAATAAAAGACACATGCTACCACTTTAGCCGTCTGGTTAATATGGTTAAAGTCTGCTGTCTCAGTCTGAGCACCATACAAATGACTTATACTCAGCATTTCATTAAACCATTTAGAAGCTCGGTAATAAAAGAAATGAACTGTCAATGCATTACTTGTTTTTTGTTCGGAAAAGAGATGCAAAAACAGGCTCTCATTTGGTAATATCTGCAAGGCTTGGTGTTTGCACATTTTTTTCCTCCTCAGTTTTACAAAACTATCAAGATCCTTTTTTCACTAATTGTACCTGTCTCTGGAGGCGCTCATTCTCCTCCTGTTCTGCCTTTGCTCTCTCCTGTGCCTCCTTCTCCTGTTGCAGACGCTGGGCTTTGTCCCTCAGCCTCTGCTGCTCTGCCATCAGCCGTGCCTCCTCCTCTCTGCGCCTCCTCTCCTCCACCTCCCGCGCTAACCGCTCCTCCCGCTCCAGCCTGTCTCACACACACACACACACACACACACACACACACGTTTTGTCAGGACATGAGGTCATTCATGTCCCATATGTATTTTGACTGTATAGTTTACACTGTATTTATGTATTGATAGCGACCAATAGGTCATAAATGGTTTTGCCCCTTCTGTCAACTGAAACCTGCAGCAGAAGCATTTTATGCCAAGGTAGTTTACCTCTATTTTTCTCGGACTTTCTGACAGTCGGGACATTTTTGTTCTGAAAATGTATGGCAAACAACACAGCCACATAAAACAGTCCAGGCACACACTGGCATTCACAAAACATCATCTATATATTTCATAATCACATAGGACACTACAAGGTGCAAAATAAGATGGAGACTGCCATGGCTAAAATAACATAGCTCGCAGTCACCAGTGAGGCAGGGCACAACAGGCTGGAACTCTCATTACGTTCCAGCCAAAGGCCTTTCTCGCTCATAAAGTCTGTCACGAAGAATGGAGCTGGTTACTTTAAACGTCAACAGTTCTTCACCACAGGCAATTACATTGCATGCATACAGATGAAGGACAACTTATGCGGCTTCGTAGCAGAGTTTGTATGCTATATGAGAGCCTCTCTTGTATGCTGTGTACGAGTATGTTGTTAATTTCAGATGTGGGTGCTTGAATGCCAGACCTCCACTTAAAAAAGAAACTGCTTGCATATGCTGGAATGTGGCTTTTACTGCAGTTACATCTGATTTGGAAATTGTGGCATCAAAACCATTTATTTCAGGTTTGCTCTCTCTTGTTTGTTGTAGGGGTGGGTAAATATAATAATATCACAGCATCACAGACAAGTATTCACAATGCACCAGTATTTTCACAATACATGATGCATTTTGCTATATTCTGCTTCTAAACTATAGATAAGTTGGAACAGACACAACACAGTAAAGTACAGAATTTTTTTTTTTTATGCAACATTTAACATACTGTGCACCACTAATTCTAATTAAATAGGACCAACCATGCTCTTTTCAAGTCCCAGCATCATGGGGATTTGAGATCACAATAAAAGAGCAACAGCTTACATAGCTATGCTACTTGAGAGTTCCATCTCAATCTCTTTTTAATGCAATGTTCAAGTACTAAGGACGTCTAAAATATGCTCAGAAAAGCTTGCTGTGGAGTAATTTATCATGATAACGTTATCACCCAACCCTTGTTGAAAGGATAGGAAAGGAAGGGAAAGTGTCTGCTATCTCCAATTTAAAGCTGTGAAGCTGACCTATTTTTCTCCTCCTGTTCTTTCCGCTCCTGCTCCTCCCGCTCCCTCTGCTCCCTTGCCTGTCGCCTCTTCTCAGCCAAAATTCGGGCAGCTTCTTCTGGGTCGTTGGTTCCAGCCATAGGCTTGGCAGGGGAGGGTGCTGGGGAAGTTAATGGAATACTGGAATTGGCTGTGGAGTTCTCAGGGACAGAGGAGGCGCTGATGGTTGTGACTGGTGCACTTATAGACAGGGGCATCTCAGGGGCAGCAGACACAACAATCGGGGGGATAGGAGAGGAAGCTGAACAACAGACAAAGAGACAAAAAGAATAATGTTCCTTGATTGAAAACAAAACAGAATGTGCTCTTTGAAGAAGCTACATAATTTCAGAATACTTTGTCCATAGCCTGAAATTCACTCATTATCTCGCACCTCCCAACTCTCTCATTATGTCTATACAATACAGACTTTATTACAATTCTTGCATAAATAATTTGCCACATAGAATCCCTCCCACTATAAAGTGTAAGGTAAGTTCTTGAGCCAGTGTTCTGGTGTGGAATGTGAGCTCTGTGAGCTATGTGAAATATGAACAATGTGCTGTGATTAAGTAATTAGTGCAGCCACCAGGGCTGGAGCAGACACAGCAGTTCCTTTAATGAGCTGCATTCTCTTTTGTGCATAATTAACAACCAGGCAATCTGCTCCCACTGTAGCTATTGCACATTCTTGCATAGACACACAAACACACAGTTAATTCATAATCCTAGTCTAGGTCTATGTGACTAAACTTCTAGGCTGCAAACTGAAACAACTGTAAAAAGAAGCTGAAAAATGTGGATGGTACAGCAGACAAAACACTGGCAAAAACTAAAAGATTCTGAGACAATCAATGTGATCTAATCAAAGAAGGCACAGAGCTGATGTGATGATCACACTCACCTTTGGTGTTATCAGGAATGGCAGGTCTGTGGCTATCTTGGGCTTTCCCTACAGCAGCAGGTGAACGAGTGCGTGCCTCCACCCGAGCGGGCGTCCGTGCCCTCTTGGGACGAGCTTTCGGTGTGCTGGGACTAGATTGGGCTGATGCAGGTCTGGGAGAGGAGGCCCTGCCTTTAGGTGTGATGGGAGAGGCAGCCTGCCGCGACAAGGGACTGGAAACAAGAGAGGGCACTTTAAAATATGTATATGTTTAATAAGAATAATTAGACCTTGCTCTAGCAATTTGTGCATGTGTGTGTGCAGGTGTGGCTGTTTTATCACTTGATGGCAAAATATCTGATGATTTTCTTACATATTTAAATGGGGGGTTATGTGCCCAGACTAACCATAATTCATGTTTATATTACCATTTTCCAATCTGTCTTTACCCCTCAGAAATAAACAGACACTTTTGGCTACTGTGCCTTTATGTAAGATGTATGTAAATGATCTCTGTTTTGATTAGCTGCCTTGTATTGTGTCTCATTCAAGAGCAGCCTGAACTGAAACACTCCTTCAGCATACAGAATAGGTGAATATACATCCATACATTGGATTCTGTCACATCATAAAGCCATTTCTGCAGTTTAGTTTCCATTTAAGGACTGTTCGAGGAGCGAATAATCATTTTTGAAACTTTACAAATGTTTATATACTACATTAGACTTGCAGACAAGCAAATTTGGTTTTCCATGATACAGGCCTTTTAATAAGCGACACATGACTGTCAATTAAAAATTAGAAAATCTAATCTACTTAATGGTCATGGAGGTTACCTGGGCTCAGGTCTGGTTTTCATTGATGGTAAAGACTGTCTCTTCTTCAGCACCTTCTCTTTGGTGATGGCACTCTTTTCTTTTTCATTTTCTCGCTCCTTGTCTTTCTTCTCTTTCTTCCTCTTATCCATCTGCCAGAAACAATAAAACAAAATCTAAAAATAGATACTATTGAAATAAAAACATTAATACTGTATTAAACAGTAACCCATGACGCATGTGAGTGAGTGACAGACTGAGCAGTGAGACAGACGTACAGGTGTGGAGTCTCGTCTGCGTTGGCGCTGGGTGATGTCAGGGGTGCTGGTTGTGACCCTCCAGCGCTCAGAGCATCGGTGGGGCCGGTGAGAACACACTGAGAGTGGACTCGCTGAGGCTGAACGAGGACACACTGGAGACTCTGGGGAAGGACACACACAACTGGAGAAATTTAACCAAATAATGCAGAGGTTATGAACCACAGTCTGGCACATTATATTAAGCATTCAAGCCTCAGGTTCAAAGAAATGCTTGTGTTGATCTTCTTAGTGATAAAAGCCCTGAAGCTCAACTTACAAATAATTTTTTTTCGGAATCATAATGTTATGTCAGACAAATTGCAACAAGTTATTTTCCACCAAATCATTCAGCTTGTTTTTTTACATGAACTGAAACCAAGCTTTCTCCTTCATTTCCTCTTTTTACAGCTGTATGTGTAATAAATAAATTCCTAATTATAGTGCACATCATGATTTTTTTTCCCTTTTCTGAGAAGTGCCTCGTTTGACAATCTAGAAAACACTGCAACAAAAGTATTCCTTTTAAAAAACTGCCACTTATATGTAAAGGTTTGTAAGTAAATCACACGATCTTATGTTACTCACGAGAGTCTTTGCCATTGCTTAGCACGCTGGCAGCACTACGACTCCGTGCCAGGAAAGACAGGGTGGGTGTCATCAGCCGGTCCACAATGCTACTCTCCCATGGACTCAATTCCAACCTACGGGCTGCAGGAGGAAAACATTAGGACTCACCAAAAAGAGGGTGAGAAGACGTCAGACACAGCAGCAGTGTCCTATTTTCTGTTTTCCTATTTAACTTCCACAGCTATTTATCCACTCATTGTTTTACACAACGTATACAGAATAAACAGTGATGACATCTAGGCTCTGGATCTAGGCTTTCAGTAGAAAGTAGGAACAAATACATTTAAGAGACTCGAAATAAAAGAAAAAGGATGGGGTCATATTCATAGGAACCAAGAAAACAGATTCATTTTATTCCACTTTTAAGAGTGATTAAAATGGCAAAGATAGAAAATAAGAAAGCTGATTTCTAAACTGCTGTAATACCCATGATACATCAGCCAAAACAGCTAAAAAAAAAATTAAAAAAAAAGTGGTCATATAACCAGATCAAAGAAGAGTAGAGCTGTCTAGCATGCCCAGGATCTGCAGGACATTCCTTTCTCAGAGTGCTGATAGCTGTCTCAACAGCAAAATGCAATACACACATTCTCTTTGAACTCTTTTGAAAACGTTCCAGTGCATGCACTATATAGACACAACTATCTAAATGAAAATAACTTTCATTCTTTGAAGAAAAAGAAAAAAGCTGCTTTGGCACCAATAAAACACTTCCCACACCATTAGAATCATCATGGAAATGGAAATGAGCACACCAACAACACAAATAGGTTCACTTATGACATTTAAACAGAGGTCTACAATTCCAAACTCAAATTCAGTTTCCAGTCCTGGATTTTGTAATCGCTGGTAGGTATTACACTAGGTGACCAATCGGTTTCATCAAGAGTTCAGCACCAGCCATTACAAAATCTAGAACTGGAAACTGGATTCAAGGTCTGGATTTAAAGACCTCTGATTTAGATTATGATACATAAAAGAAAGAAAAGGAGACAGAAACAGCCACCACCAAAAATGAACCATTCAAACAGTGGAACCTGACTGGGAGTGTGACCAGTCCTTTAGTGGAAAAGGGAACAGAACATGAAGAGACAAAATTCATACGTTCATATCTGGATATGAACAAAGGAATGTCAGGTTTTGAAACTCAAGACCCAAATCAGGTGAAGAGGTTGGGCAGGGGAGGAATGATGCTGTGAGTGCTGGGGCAGGCAGGTGATTGGAGGCCAAAAAAGAGAATCAAATAAAGAAAACGGAAACCATAAAATGTGAGGGACGGAGTTGGAGACGGCGAGGGAGAGGGAGGGAGTCCAGGGGGCGTGGCCTTACTTCTGCTGGGGGAGTTCCAGAGGGTGGCTGAGGATTTGGAGAGTCGCTTGTTTAGAACAGAGTCCACATGTTTTGGCAGGTTGACTGCAGATATAGAGCATCGGCCTGTAAAACCCAGAGAATACCGCGGAGGCTTGAAGTGCTGACATGCAGCTACAATGATCCATGGTCAAACACATTATAATTGAGGAAAGAATTCACAAATGACGGCTGTTCGCAAAATCTGCTTATGAACAGGTAAAGCTTATAAATCCTACACTGCATTTCATAAGAGGAAAAAAATACAAAAACAAAAACACTACACAAGACTGTAGAAACAAAATCTGTATACTATGGCACACAGTAAAAGTGAATTCCACCAGGTTCCACCCAGTTTTTCAGAATAACACTTTTTACTTTTTCACTTAAATAGTATCAAACATACGTTCAGGTAAAAAAGAACAAGCATTAGTGTCTAACATTGGTCCAGTATTGTCCAACCGAAGGATTTTGACCAGCAACAGTTTACACTCAAGCTTCATGCTAGACATTTATCTTATGTATAAATAAGACAAAAGCTTTTTATTACAGTGCTATGACGGAGCACAATTCTAGCGTAAATAAATAACTAAATTAATTTGACTCTAGAGAATTCCGTTGGAGACAACACTGATAAATCTGCAAATGAGGTCATGAGGCCCAGGAGACAATGCTTCAGCATTAGGAACAGAGCTGCAGTAATTTAGCATAATCGCACAGGACTCTACTGGACACTTTCCCTCAGAAAACACAAGAGTGGCTAATTCCAAATGCAATTTAAAGTTCAGCAACTGGGTCATGACAGCTAACAATGTGATGTTTATGCACGAGAAATCAATCTAGCACTGCTCTCCTGCTCAATGTACTAATTCATATGATACAGATGTCCCACTTACGTACATAAAGACCAAGAAACTAGTAGTGCTGAGTTATAGGTGAACACTTACTTGTGGTTGGCCTGAAACAAGCTCATCACATTGTGGGGAAAACACAACTAAAGACAGATCCAATTTCAGAAATCAATAAAGTCTAAAAGTATAGCGACAACAGCTCTGTGGTTCTCAGGTCATTTAACGCTGATGCTGAGTAAACAAACACTGTGACTTTCAGTCATAAAAGACAAGGAAGCCAACTAGATGCAACAACAGCTCATAATGAAGAGTTCATGACATTACCAGTCAAAACCTGCTATTTCAAACATCTCTCTGTGTTATAAGGTATAAAGTTATAACACAAAAATAAGAGACTGTAACATTGTTTTTTTGCCAAAGACTCTCAGGTTATACTGTGTACATCCACTAAAACCAACTGCACCTACAGTAACTCTGTGCTACTCACTTTGGCTCTGACTGGAATTGGCACTCAGTCCTCCAGCCCAGGACCACCTCTGTTGACGAATCTCAGCCCATGTCTTCTTTGCAGACCTCTGGATGGCAGCCTCGTAGCGCTCCTAACCACAAACATAATTGCTTAGACATGGAACAATCTCCATCCTTTCATACACTGCCAATTACCAAATACCAACCAGTTGTAATGATGTTGAATCACTGGATATTACAGTGTGTCATTGTATTTTTGTTTCTGTTAGTATTACTGCCTGTGGTCTTTGTTTGTATGGGGGATTTTTGAGCACTTAACAGACATTTCAGGAGTATTTGTGGTTCCTTGAATGCTTCTCAGCCAGTGAAGCAGAGTCATTTATTGTTCACCTTGTTCTTCTCCAGTTTCTGTTTCTGTCTCTCCTCCAGAGCAGCCCTGCGTTTCTCAGCCTTCAGTCTCTGCTCCTCCAGCCTCCTCCGGCGCTCCTGCAACTGCTGCTCTCGCAACTGCCGCGCCCGCTCCTCCTTCTCCAGCCACTCTGACTTCTTAGCAGCTTCAGATGGAGCCATAAGGAGGGAGAGAGAGAAATAAAGGGACTATATGTTAATGAGCAGGTAAACATGAACAGTCAATTTCTATGGATTTAAACTAACTAAACTGTACTTTCAATTAAAAATAAATAAATTAATAAAAGTACTATTCCATGGAAAACCAGAAAAACATGTCAGTTTGAGTTTACAGTACTGTGTAAAAGTCAGACCTTCTCTTTCATTTTTTTAATTTAAGTTCCAGGCAAAACTGCTATTAAGTACAAACTATTCATTTTTCCAAGTTACTGTGTCCTCCCAGTAAAAGGTGTTGTCAAATGTGTCAGTTTGTGGCCCCAAACTGTTTCCCAATTAAAAATGGAGTCATTTTGGTCTAACAATCTCTTCTTGTCAGCAGCAATTCTCCTGTTTAAAATGGTATTCCATGGTGACACTTCACCTGCTCAAGAAGCCTAACAGACTTTATAGGAGCTGTAATAGGTTGGATACTGACTTGCCTACCTATTATCCATCGTTTTACATAATTGCTGCACACACGGCTATTCAAACCAAATGCTCCAGGCTACACGGCATATTACAAGTCAATACAGAGATGTAAAAATGCGCCCTACTCATCTGCTTGAAACAGCTGTGTGCCAGAGGGTAGTTGCAAAACCTTTTCTTTACAAAGGCAAATCTATGTTCCATTTCTCACAGAGATAAATGAATTATAGTGGCTTCACACAAAGAGACATGCTGAAGTTTCTCTAATTCTTTTTGACTGGCATTTAAATCCCAACATCACATCAAGCACTTCTGCCTCTTCAAATAAACAACAGCCTTTCATATGTTAAGCGCCAGACTCTCCAGAGACTGCAAGAGAGGAACTGCTTCTCCATCTTTAGACATATGGGGTTAGATATTCTGCAGCTGCATTGAATCACATTGTGATTACCCATAGGATAAATACTGTGTATTCTGAAAAAGTCTTCATGTATCATGACATAATTTTACTATATTTCCCACCTCTAAATAAGAGTTACTTTGTTCGATCAATTTCAATCTCCCTGGGTCTCCAGATCTACACGAATACTAGCTTCTACATTTTACACTGTGGGGTGGGGAATTTTTATTCTGAATTACAGAGTGCAGTTCTATTACAGCCAGACTGGGGCAGCCTGCAGACATATTTACACAGCTAATGTGACATGCTGAAAGCAAATAGGAACCAGCAGTACAGTAATCAGAAGTTGATATTGGACTTTAATGTTTCTTAACCTATGGGTTGCAGGCATGTTTGTGTTGCCACACAAATGGAGAACTGCAGTGTCACAGCAGTGACTCTAGCTAACTGAAGTGTGAATATTGTGGTATCTCCTCTCTATAAATATTATAAACCATTAATCAGTTCTGTGCAATAGTAGCATAAATCTAATAAATATTCCTGTCCATGATACTTTCCTCAAGTAAAAGCAATGCAGCTAATATCTGATATGCCTGACAGAACTTCTATGCAATAGTTAAGAGGAAGAAGTAAGGGGGGGATGTGAAAGTGCAAAACAGAAAGTGACAGTAGCAGTGTTTTGATATAAAGGATTCTGTGTTTGAAAGGCTAGCTGGGCTGAACAATTTCAGTAAAACATCTAACCATTTTTTTGGACCAATATTGTAAATGTTATTTAAACTGCAACTAAATTAAATTGAATATTAAATTGTATCTAATAACAAGCTCTGTATTATTAGGTCAGAACTCCACATTTAAAACGGAATGCATCAGCTGCTCAGCTGCCTAATAATAACTAATAACTGATAATCCAAATTCAGTCCTGAATTTTGTAATCTACAAAGCGTATCTAAACCGTTCTGTCATGCTAAGGGTAAAGAGAAAAAACTGTGACTATCAACTAATTATACAAAACCAGTCAGCCCCTTGCATGGGACTATGCACATCCATGAGAAGCTGTGCCTCTGGATTCCAGAGGTATGAATTAGCCATGGCCTGAGTAAGCCAAAGTGTCTCTCTCCATAAAGAATTCATAAACCACCAGAGAGCACAGCAGACAAAGAAAACCTGCATGAGATTCCAACAGTCCAGGCTTAGGCATGCTCTTTCACATGTTCTCTCTTTCACTTGCACTACATGCAGGACTCATCTTAAATTGATAAAAAGAGCTCAAAGTAGAGAAAGCAAATCCACAGTAGCTTAGTTTGAAACTGTTAGTCATTGTCCTAACCAAAGAGCAACACTTACTCTATCACTCATTTCCACCTGTAAATAGAAGGTTTCAAAACAAACCCTACTATACTCAAGACTGCTAGTGATTATTTCCATCCCTTCTGAACTGACAGTACCTAAAGAATGGGGCTAGGATCAAATGAACACAGAAACCTAGAGAGAGAGCCATACATAATAATAATAATAATAATAATAATAATAATAGTAATAACATCAGTGATTATCAGTGACTAAAACTATGCAGTTTCATAATAAAAAAAAATCCATACTATTCAAACCAAATGTGAACATACAAACTTAAAAGCTGGAAACTATGCATACACTGCACTCATGTGGCTGGAATAAATACCTGCAAGTTATTTTCTTTCGCCATCATGATAAAAAAAAATAAACAAAACAAATATCAAGATCTGTTCTCAGCCAAGCTAGTTTGGGTGTGGGTTTGTGCTTTTTTTAAACTGAACACATCTGGTAATTATAGTGAACTCTGTCGCAGTACAAAAAACAACAAAAACACAAATATAATGAGCAGTGAGCTTTTGTGATAAGAAGTTCAAATACAGTGTGCTTAGGGCTGAGACCTGCAACTGATCTTAAACTTATCTTCTATCTATGTTCTATGTTTGCTCAAATGCCCTTTCAATACTAAAATATTATTAATAAATAAACCAAAAACAAACATAATTTCACTCACTAAATGCGAGTAGAATTTATATTTGAAATTTCATTTTGATACTGACCAATCAAAATTGCAATTTAACCAATAAGCATGACTATTTAAAGGTTGTACTAGTTTAAAAACAAACAAACAAACAAACAAACAAACACACACTCTCTTCCAAGACCATTACCATCACAGCTGGACTAGAAGCATGAAAGAATAAAGCTGAAGCATGAAACTAGTGAACACACCATAAAACATTATATGAATAAACAGTTCTCTAACTCTGAAAATGGTTCATTAAATCTAAAGCCATAAATCCATAATAATGGAGAGAAAGTGTAAGCATATTTAAAACTGTTAGGAATCATTGCTTATTTGTGCAAAGAAATGTTTATTTTGATTTCTGAGTTTTATGTATCTCAGTTTCAGGTTTTCACTGTTCTGGGGTTGATGCATTGCAGAACCTCATAGTTAGTAGGTAACTACTTTGTTTCATGTAGTCCACCCCTGTTGGTGGGAGCGAAATGGATCATCCCACCAATCAATGTTATGCTCTGGTGCTGATACTGGTTGCAACCAGTCAATTACCTCATCTCTCAAGCATCTCTCAATTACCTCAGTCACCTTGATCATCTTAAAATTATACTACGTCAATTAAGAAACTAATTATTGCCTGGGTTACATACTCTTACCCACATGAGTATGTAACCCAGGAGTGAAGGTCTAAATTAGTAATGAAATGAAGTGAAAAGATCTGTCCCAAACCCCCTAATCCAGATGCTCATAAATTTCCTATTTCCCCAGGAGAAAGGAGAATATAGAGGAGGATACAGAAAATAGATTTACTGCCTATAAAATTAAAAGAATGGAAGAAAGCAGAAAAGAAAGCTGGTTAAACTGAGTAACTGAAAGGAGAGAGGAAAAATAACGGATTAGTCCCCTGATTGTGGACCACGCACAACACGTCACCACCATCACCACAGACACTTAGAGAAATGCTTACCTTGAAGGTGGCTGCGCTGTTCTAGAGGAGTGAGAGAGAAGACAAGAGTGCCTGTCAATCATGCAAAGCAGTGCAGGCATGTGTACAGCCATGAGCAGCAGGGCAAACACACAATACACTCAGCCTGCTGTGAGAGGCTCCTAAACAAGTGTGCTGTGAGGTTACATCCATATGGGTTAATAACAGCACTTCTTACTGAAAACTCGGTGGTTAAGAGATTAAAAAGTGAAGTAAAGATGTGGTATAGAATTGTTGTGGTGTATGTGGTTTGATACTGGAGTGGGACAGCTGTTGGTTCTTTTCTGTGGCTACACGTGGACAGCCATGCTGAGTCAAGGAAATGAGACGGACTGGACACGGACCTCAGAGGATGTGTTGTCATTTTGTAGTAATTTTGTGAGAAATTAGGAAATATTTTTCCCTATAGACAAAGGCGTCTTAAAACCGGAGTCCTTATTTAGATGTGTTGCTGACTACAAGATGACGCACAACCTCTATGAGGATGGAGTGGCTTCAGTTTGAGCATACACTATTTAGGTAGAACATAATTTTTTAAAAGCTTTTCATAACTGATGCAGTGACCCTGTATGCCTGTATGCCTAATTCTTTAAATACAACATCCTGACCAGCAGGAGGCACTGTCTTCCTTAAAACCCAGCATTCACTTACCAAGATATTTAGCTCTTTCCTCTCTCCTCTCTTTTGCCAGTTTTTGTCGGTCCTCTGACTTCACTGCATCTGGAGAGAGAGGGAGTGATAAGAGGCATTATTGTGCTGCAAGCCCAGGCTCCCATCTGCAGTGCTATAATGTGCTGGAAACTGGCAGCAGTGAGTCTCTGGGACATTCACACCACATTTCCACTGAGAAGCCTAACATGCAATCACCATAATTAAGACTCATCTCACAATGCTTTCCACACACCTCAGTTAAAGTTAAAAATAACATCTCTGTCAGAAAACGTTTAAGAATAAGAATGTGTGCTGCATAACACCAGTTAACTTGCCCTAGTTCAATTCTGCAGCTTTTATACTTGGAGTGGGGTAGGCAAAAAAAAAGTATATCATAAAAATACTTACACATTTTTACAGTATGTATCATGATATGTTGACACAGACAATACACTAGTGCCACATTTACAAATTCAGAGCTCAGAGAAGCATACATTCTCCACTGCCATTTAGTGGATATCATGAAAAAACTAATCACGATAATATAAAATGTTGTTATATTGCCCACCTGTCCTTCAAAGCTTGGCGCTTTTCTAGTTGTAATGAACCTGATTTCAATTCTGTAGTTAGTTACCAGGTTTAGTAAGAGTGTTAGAGCAGGGAAATCTAACTGCGCTGGACTCCTGCCCTCTAGGAACAGAGCTAGACACCCCTGGTCTAGATAACTTATGCTACCAACACCAGCAACCTGAGATCTACTCATTTGGACAGTTTAGTTCTAGTGCAAATACAAAACAAACATAGTCAAGTGTTAACACTGGAACAAAGATCTCCAGGAGGACAGATCACAAAAAGGTAGTATTTGTTTCCAGGTTACTTCACTTGGACAAACAGAGGCACAGCAACAGAATTACCTCTTTATTATGAAGACTACACGTGACAATATACAAATTAAAAAAAAAACTGTTCCAAATCACTTTTAAATGACAAATAAAACAGAAACTCATTAAATCGGATGCTGGCAGCAGGTTGCTTCTTGGTGGCCCATGCTCCACTCTGGAAGAGGTATTTTTAGCAGTCAGAAAGCTGAAGTGCCGAGTCCCACGGGCCACAGGAGCTGATGAGCAGCCTACGTTCATCTTGATGAGTCACTCGGCCCAAGCTAGAAAAAGCAGCAAGCTGACCCAGAAACAGCTTGTAGATGGTGAAAAGCAACAGAATCTATGCGGCAGAAGCACCTGCAGCGGCCACATCACCTCTCCCCCTTAGCTCCAGAACTACAATCATCACTATACAATAATGGACCAACACCATCATGCTTATTATCTTTTTTCCAGTTTTTATTTTATTTTACATTCAATTTTACACTATTTGAAAAGCACTGTTCTTCCAGCCTTTTTTCCAGTTTCTATTAATTAATGAATTCATTTATTTATTTTACACCACCAAAATCACCATATGCCTTTCATGTTTTGTGCAAAATGATGTATAGACTAACACACAATATGAGGTATGTGGTTTTGTTCTGATTATTTATGTTATTCATCCAAGAATATGAGAAACTTATCTGAAGAACAGTAAGAACTTCACATAAAATGAAAGATGCGATACAAGATGCTAAGCACTCACTGCAATTGATTCTGAAGACACTAAGTATGTGATTATAGCTAATTATAGGGCACATCAGAGAGGAATGAGTTCAATACCATAAGAGGCAGACTGAAAACAGAAATACAGTACATAAACCATGAGACTAAATGGCAGCCAACACGGTACCAAAACAGCAGCTACTGTAATTAACCAGAATACAACAGGGGCACTCAACAAAAGGAAAGGAGTATTTTGTGCAACAAAGCTGCCATTTTCAGAGGAAATCCAGGCCATCCACAACAGTGCTAACCACATCTCCATAGCAACCATCATTGGAAACACCAGTGAGAGACTCTGTGGCAGCAGAAGTGCAGCAATCGTGTGTTCTCTCTGCCGGCCATCCGGACATGCAGGCTTCAGCATGCTTCACAAGGACATGCTGCACACTGCCAAGTACCAGCAGTAGCAGCAGCAAGGTCACTCAGTGCCTTCTTAAACACTCTTATTACTCTCCAGTATAAAACATTTTTAATCCACTGCAGTGCTTTAAGATGAGGGCCCACACCTTCTCTTTCTGGAGTGAGAAATCACAGAAATCCCCAACACCACCAACAACCCCTGTGACTGCATTTAAAGTGAAACTGATTCTAGGTGTTTTTGTTTCTTTGCTTGTTTGTTTTTTTAACATTCATTTTTCACTCTCTTACTAGTGCAGACCTAAGAACATTTGCTTCAGTGTCAGTGAACGCTCCAGAGATTCTCAAATTTTCAAATGTCAAATGTTGGTTCTCTCGTGCTGCTATAATAATATTCTTATGGCTTTTTCCAGACATTACCTACATGTCACTGAATACAGAAAAGAGATGGAGGATCACCCAAAGACTAAACTCTAATATATGCTGGTGTTGATCCCAAAATCTGGCAGCCAAGAGATTTGCTTAAGATCTCTCATTCAAAGACTACAGTCAACGTACTTGGAGGTGAAAATAAGGTGAAGAAAAAAAAAAAAAAAAAAGAAAAAAGTTGATTATTCAACTTAAACCTTATTAAGCCTCATTAATGCTCTGTAATAGCATTGGTTCAAACAAGTAAAGCTATTGTACCACAAACGTGACTGAGGGCCATAAATCCTAACTGTTGGCATAGCACAGTGAAATGTGACGCCTGGTCAGGTTTCATCATGAGCTAGTTGCTGCCTGCATTTTCTGATTATCATTAAGCATTCACCATTCACATTACCCAAATATCTTACTTAATTCTGTCTGCATTTACAGAAGCCAGAAAAGGGAAATATTTTACTGTACAAAAACTCTTTTGCCAGAGAAACTATTTTGACATCCATGCTGGTGCAAAATGTAGTGACCTCCTTCCATTTCTCATGGAAGTAGTGCCAGGAAAACTAGTTTATAAAGACCGTGCATGGCGGACCAAATGGAGAGAGCGTATCTATGTGAATTAGGTCAACATGATTGCTCTTACCACATTTCCATAACGGCCATTCACTGCCATGTAAAAGATATGTTTGAAGACATTCAAACACTCTGCCTACACCTTACAGCAGGTACAGTGCATGCCTACCTTTCTTAGTTTGAGGACTGACATTTGACCGTGGGGTGGGTGTCGCTGGTGAAGTCGGTAACTTTGGAATGACATCTGGTATTGGAGCTGAAGTGACAGCCTTGTGTTCAGAATCAACAGGAGCATCAGCATCTGTTTTTTGGGGTGTCTTCACCTCCTCGCTGTTGGCTTTAGTGGGGTTTGCATCCAGAGATGTTGGGGGATCTGAGAAATAGAAAAAAAAGAAAAAGCACATTTAAGCAGCTGCCAAACAGAGACAGAATTCATTATAGCTGCACATTCATATAAAGGTGCATTTTACATATACAAACATGAAGGTCTGACTACGGGGACTTGATGGAGTTGATGGAACCATGAATTTAGTAGAATGTGTGGACGTATAGCAGTGGACCTGAAAATAATTATTATTCAGTACATAGTGCTTTTGGTATTGGCAGAGCTCAATTCTGAATAAATAATTTTAACTCTGAAAATCATTTGATGCTACCCTCCCATATTACCCTGAGCCCTGATATTGCTTACTATCAACAGTTCCACAAAGGGCTTAATACTGACAACTAAAAGGACTACTTAGCAGTTCTAAAGATTATAACAGCAAACTTGGCTCACTTGTCTTTTCTCCACAGTTCAAGAAGGCACTGATTCAGCAGAGGAGGAGAAGAAAGGTATGATAGATGAGGAAGTCCTGCTCATGATAAAGGCATCTGAACTAATGAATCACTGAGGGCAGAGAGTTTGTCCAACAGCAAGCAAGTAAATGATCAAATCAGCTCAACCTGTCTGAAACCTACTATATCATTTAGGCTAGTAGACTATGCAAAAACATCTGGTTCCTTGTGACTGCTCAAATGTGAGTTATCATCCTGTGGTATACCATTTGAATATAGAGTGGACACAGTTAAATATAATGTTATCTGGGGGCATGAGATACTTGCCTACTTTTCTTAAACAACTCTGCCAAACTTCTCTTACTCGGTCTTGTAAGTGAGAGGAGGTTGCTATGAATGTTAAACTGCGGACCTTGCACTAACTATTACCTATATTCAATTCCAAAATCACCAGCAGGCTACTCTTGATAAAGAGACAAACCAAATAGCAATGGATGGACAGTGGTTCCCAGCGGTCCCAGGCCCCTGAAAAGGTCCATGTTTTTCCTTCATCCCTATGTGTTGCAAAAATGTGGACCATGTCGGGGGCCACGGAGAGTGGCTTGGGAACCAGTGTGATAGAAGATGGGCTATAGGTTAAAAGCATCTTATTCTATGGTCACTTTAAAAATCAAGCAATACTATTTTGGGGTTACAGTCACAAAACTAGCCAATAAAATTTCTAGAGTGCCTTTATTCATTACACTCTTAAAAAGATGGCTCTTCAAGGGTTCTTTAGTAAAGAAAATGGTTCTATATAGAACCATGAACACCTCTGCATGATTAGAAAGTTCTTTGCATCATGAAAGGATCGATCTCCTTCTTCAGATTGATGGAGAATGTGTTGTAGATAGTCCTATATAGAAACCTTTTTGAAAAGTGTTCTAAACGGCACCAAAAAGGGTTCCACTATTTTTATAAGCCAAAGAACCCCTTTTTGGTATTACATAGAACCCTTTTTGCTAAGAGTGTAGTTTGTTGGTGCAACTGTTTAGATGCCAGTCTAAGCCACTCATTTTCTTCCATGCCAAAACCTTTCAAATCATTGATAGAACTTTGTCTATCCATAGAAATAAATATCTTCAAATACTTTAATTTGGTTTCAGGTAGTTATTTATTTGTTAATAACTGTATCTTTACTCTTGAGCAGAGGAAACCTGATTTCTGGCCAGAATGCCTTGAAACGTACCAGACTCCATGTTGCTTACAGAATTTCTCACATTCCTTCAAGTAGCACAACCTGTTGACCAGGAATGACCTCACTCTTTAAAAACCCAAACATTTCAAGTTTTCTCACTGAAACAGAAGGGCTGTCTGACCTTTAATGTGTCAATTCAACAGCCTGAGGCGAAGTAGTCATGCTTACAAAGCAAAGAGCGGAAAGAGAGGAAGGGAGGGAGAGGGAGAGAGAGAGGGTAGGAGAGAGAGCGCGAGGGGGGGGGGAATGAAGGAGTCTGTCCAAGTCTCACATGGCTCACTCTTGGCAGACCACACTTGCCACTCCAGCTCAAGTATAGATGTAAGAGGTGTAAGAATACCCTGGGGGCATTTGACTGCAGTCATTACAGTCCACCTCTGAACTCCACTAGCCATTAGGATCAGGGAGTTCTGCAATGTTTCGTTAAAGAACAGACAGCACAGATATCTGTCTCGCTTTGCATTTCTTCATCCCACGGTGCACCTCCATCACAAAAGAAAGCATCTGGAAATGGTGGGCAAACGACCAAAAACCCACATCAACAAAATGCTTTTAACGTACTCAGTGACTGATTTCAAAATTCTGATTTCAATAGTTTATTTCAGTACAATAAGACATGGGGGATATTTCAGTTTACAGTGAAGTCCACAGTGACATACGGTTAACATCAACATTCCAAATAAAATTAGCTTTTACTTAATTAATAATTTAATTTGACAGATGTCTTATCAGGATCTTTAACTAACTTCAATAATCAACTGGTGTCTAAACCATGTAGTTCCATGTAGAAAGATACCATGTAGTTCTCAGAACTACATAGTATCTTTCTCCCTCTCTCCCTCTCTTGCTTTGTATTTATAAAACAGCCCAGAACTTACCCGTCTATAGGCACATCTGCACTACACAGGCCTACTTATTGATATAACAACGCACAGCAACATAAAGTAATTTTGTTGATTTAAAGCATTTTTTGCAGCTGCGATTCACCAAATTAAATTTAGCTTTTTTGTTAACTATGCTGGTGTGCTTTGCCAGAAGCTCTGAAAACAGCAGGCAACTACACAGGCCTGATCAAATTAAGATTTCAGAACAGGCCTGCCAAACAGAGAACTGCTTCTAAAAGATGGGGAGGCCAGGCATGCGCTTTTAAAAATGCAAATGAGACAAATAGGGGGTCGGAAATGGCAGTGAGTGCTGTCAGTGAAATCAAAGATTAGATGGAAAGAGGGGTGGGGTGGGTGGAAGAGAGAGTGAGAGAGCAAGAGGGAGAGAGAGATATAACACTGCATCTCATTTGAGCAATACTGAGAGGGTAATGAAATGAATGACCTCATCCCCCACTCCACACCCCTCACCCCGGATGGGTGATGTAAGGAGGAATGGTGCCCCTCATGAGAGGGGGATGGGGCGAGGAAAGAAAGACAGGAGCAGACTAGCTGGAGGCCCAGGGTAAACACCAGCTACTGGATTAGAGCCAGAGAGAGAGAGCCACAGCCAGAGAGAGAGACAGAGAGAGAGACAGAGAGAGACAAAGAGCACCAGAGAGAGAGAGAGAGAGAGAGAGAGAGAGAGACGCGAGACAGAGAGAGAGAGACAAAGAGAGAAAGAGCACCAGAGAGAGAGAGAGAGAGAGACAGAGAGAGAGACAGAGAGAGAGACAGAGAGATAGAGATAGAGAGACAGAGAGAGCCAGAGAGCCAGAGAGAGAGAGCGCCAAAGAGATAGAGAGAGAGAGAGACAGAAAGCCAGAGAGAGAGGATGAGGTAGAGAGCAACATAGCCAGAGAGATAGAGAGAGAGAGAAAGAGTGCCAGAGAGAGAGAGAGAGAGAGAAGAGAGAGAGAGAGAGAGAGAGAGAGAGAGAAAGAGAGAAAGCCAGAGAGAGAGAGAGAGAGAGAAAGAGCGCCAGAGAGATAGAGAGAGAGAGAGAGAAAGAGTGCCAGAGAGAGAGAGAGAGACAGACAGAAAGCCAGAGAGAGAGGATGAGGTAGAGAGAGAGGATGAGGTAGAGAGCAACATTATATGGTGTTACCATTATATTTTTTTTAAATACTCTAAAATCAAAGAAAATGAAACATTAACTCAGAGTTATGTGAGAAAGGTGGCAGGAAAGAACACTGTGCTGGGCTTCAAACATTCTTAGAACCTAACTTCTCTAGCTTAATCCATTTTTTCAAAAGCTCCCCATAAGCGAATGGGCCATTTTCAAAACATTCCAAACCAGAAGAAAATGAAAATGGGAAGGGCTTTACTAGCTGACTAGTATTTTGGCACCTGGGACCTGGGTGTGTGTGAATGTTTGAGGGAGTGCGTGTGGCTCAGGAGGAGCCACTGTATGACCACTGTGTGAATCTGTTCCATAGCTGAGAACCATCAAACCACAGTACATCAGCTCAGACCACCCAGTTCATGCTGACCATGCGGACTGTCTGCAGCAGAGGAGTAGTCCATAAATGGCAAACAATACATAAACTTCAGTTAAACATCCCAGGTTAGACTACATTTCTTCCACAATTCTTGCATGGTCTGTTCAACTAGGTCCAAAATGCCAACATTTGTCTCCACACAGCATTAAGACAACCAGTTAATCACACTGAGTAGAATGTGACAATGTAATTGTAATATTAAAAATACAAAAAGAATTCACAGAAATAAAGAGGCAGCACATGAAACAAACTGAATACAAAGAATGTTCAACATCATTCCCTTATGATCAATATGACAGCCAACCCAATCCATGTGTTGTTCAGAGCAAGGAACTTTTGCAATCAAGTCTTGTATTAATAATTTGTTCATGATGTGGATCATGCACATTTCTGATGCATGTGGGCAGCTTCAAGAAAGAGGCTGACCCTGATGTTCATCCTAATGACAGATGTAGATATCTACGTTGCTCAGAGGCAGACCCTTTAGCATGTAAACAAGCAAATACCAACATGCATTATGTGAACACCTAACATGTAATTGCAGGGAGTACAGGGATCTTCCTAAATACAGAGCTTTGGTCTGCAGCCCCACCCAGCCATCCAGTGGCTATCCCAGAACACTAGACCTAATTACGGGCTCTGCAGAAACACGCCCAGCTGCAAAGCTAAAACACTATTCACATAACTAATTTGCTTCAGTCATTAACAGCAGGCCACTGGGAGCTAATGACATTACGCTGACCCTCAATTGAAGAATATGAGCTCAGCAATCGAATGAGAGAGTGGGTTTTCAAAGAGTTTATGAAAACATTATCTACTGGATTGAGCTCAACATCTGGAGGCCATTATGTACTGTTTTGCAGTGTAACAGGCCCACAATCACTTACAAGCAAAATGCAAGAACTATTAAATGGTCATTTAATGCAAGGTTAGC